GACAACCCCAGAGGACCCTAAGAGAGACATACATGGATCCGCCTAGAAAGAGGAAAAAGACAAGATCTCCTGAGTAAATTGCATGGGGGGCAGGGAGAGAATGGAAGGGGAGAGGGGAGGAGAGAAGGGAAGTGAGGAAAAAGTGTATAACTTAATTTAAAAAAATGGCAAAAAAAAAAAAAGAATGGCTTGGAGGTAGAGATGGTAAAGAATGGGCCCTAGAACCACAAGGTCAGCTCACTCACTTGCTAACTGTGTGAAACTGTGTGTGTGTGTGTGTGTGTGTGTGTGTGTGTGTGTGTGTGTGTGTGTGTGCCCTCCCTGACGAAGAAACTAGGCCAAGTTCATCAGTGAATACAAAGAAGAAATCTAAGTTAACTTTACTAAATTCCAAGCGTAAGAGACAAATGCGATGAACAAAAGACAGCATAGCACCTAAGACCAATCAAGCATATTTGACACATCTGCAAGTCTAGCTTTACATTTCATTTTGTAATAAAACAAAGAAGCATATGCAAGAAGAAATGCACTAGAAAGCAAAAGAGCATGTCAGAACCTGTCTTATCTTCATAGGCCACTTCAACCTCTCCCATGAGCCATTTGCCTTGCAGCCTTGCAACCAGGGGGAACATTGTAATTCATTCTCTGTGACTTCCAGGAACATGTACAAACAGGGGTTGCATAAGTAAGTGCTGAATGGGCTTAAGAACATATGAGAGGACTGGAGAGATGGATCATGCAGAAAACCTGGGTTCCACATGGCAGATCACAACTGTCTATCACTCTAGGTCCAGGGGATTTGATGCCCTCTTCTGGCCTCTGCAAACACTGCATACACATGGTGACAGACACACTTGCAGGCAAACATTCATTTATGTAATTAATATATATATATATATCATATATATTATATATATACATGTGCACATATATGTACATATACATAGTACAAATAAACCTTAAAAATATCAGGATGTGGGTTTACCTTATCAGGATGAGGTATTAAGTGACCCTCAGAAGTCTTAACACTTCTTGCTTCCTAAATACCCTCACAACTCTTTAATGTATTGAGACTAATTTAAAATGCAACCCAATCCTTCCCATTAAATAATGGTCATTCCACAGTAAGTATAATGCCAGAAACATAATCATAATGTGTTAACACTTTTATTTGAAAATGTGTTCTGTTTATAAACACATTTACCTCCACTATCTCCTTTCATCATCACTAGAATTCTATGGAGAATAATGACCTTTACTGTTGTGTGGGTTGTAAAAAGAGGAAAAGGTGAAATCCACATCAATTAACATACAAGGCAAGAACATTTTAAGCTGAAAGGAATGTAGGCATTGACCCTGTCCACCCTCCCAGGAAAGAAATTCATAATGTATCATCCTCTCATTGGAAGAATAGAAGTTATAATATTCTCTTATTCTTTCCTATTCTTATAATAATATTCAATAATTATAATAAATAATCCTATTCTTATAATAACTTATTCTATCCAATTCTTTCTCTTTATAAAGCTCTAAACATTGCCTTAATCCATCAGAGGGAGACAGGTGTGCGGCCTGTTGATGACAGCTAAATCCTGGTCCATTCTCCTGTCTGGTAAGAACAGGACTCTTCAACTCCCTCAAGAGAAAGGGAAAAGAAATGTGAGCTTCTCAGCTGACACCCGCATTATCTAGAAAAGATAAGGCTTTTATGTTTAAGTTGCTAAACAAATTCTATCTGGATAATCTTAAGTGTAAAAGGATACATTCTGCATTCCAAAAAATCAAAATGCCTAATTCAAACAGATATTATCTTGTCTCAGTTTAGAAGCCAGAAAAGAGAATAGAATTGTCCCCTCCCACCTCACATTCATTCAGCCAACATGTAATCCTGGGCTCTAACTTCATGCCAGGCACCAAGCCAGGCCAGTACCAGGTGTAACATGTAATTATTTAGGATTTGCAAGTTATCACTTTTCCCTGAACCAAGAGTAATAAAACCTCTGTCTTAATGCTTAAGACCGAGAGCCTTCACCTTAGCTGTCACCTTTGAGAACATTCAAGAAATTAACTGCAACTCTAAGATCAGAGGGCTCCCTTCATTCATCTTATCGTCTCAATCCTATTAGGAGCTGTTAAAATAGCACACGGCACACACACACACACACACACACACACACACACACCATCTTTTTCTTCCTTCCTTTGGACTTATCTCCAAATAAGAACAATTAAATGGTGATACCCAAATAAAGAACAATGGACAACACCTCCACACACAGCTTTTCTTTCCAACATAACAACAAAAAAATGAAGAGTACTGTTTAAAGAGAAGAAAGGAGGACACACATCATTACTCCTGTCAAGAGCAAGGAAAGAGCACTGACTCTATTCTACTCAGCAAAACCTACATTCCAACTTGGAATGAAAGAAACATTTCTTTTCCTCCTAGAAAGTAAGTGAAAGAACTTAGGGATCGATTTACTTAACAAATAGGATCCCAGGCACAATCTAAGAAATTGATCCTGTATTTTTCAGAAATGGGATTTTAAATAAACTCCCTGCAAAGATACACGAGCAAACAAGTCCACCTAAAGGACGGAAGAGAGGAGTGATGTAGCTTGCCCTTGTCTCTGAGAGTTGACCAGCAAAAAAAGCTACCTTGGGAGCTGGCCTTTGTTTTGTTTTCCCTCCAGTCCATTTAATAGAAAAGGACTTTCTTCAGTGTTTTCACAGCGATACCTAACACACTCATAAAACCTGAACTATTTCCTTTAAGATTTTGTTTTCTGCCCCTTAGAATATTGCCAATGACTTTTATGAGATTGTTTCACTGCACTTGGGAATTTTTGAAAGCATAGTGAAAGTGTGACTTTACATTAAAGTCAAAAAAGGATCTGGGGCACAGCAGGTAAAACAAACAAGCCAAGTCAAAGCCAGGTGATTGTGACCTAAACTCTCAGCCAAACCTTATGTCCGCAAATATTCCTATCCTGAATCTATGTCTAGATAGAAGTTAACCTAATTTTTTTAATTGTTGTTGTTTGTTTTTTTGTTTTTTGAGACAGGGTTTCTCTGTGTAGCTTTTGGAGTCTGTCCTGGAACTCCATCTGTAGACCAGGCTGGCCTGGAAGTCACAGAGAACCACCTGCCTCTGCCTCTCGAGTGCTGGGATTAAAGTCGTGGGCCACCACCACTCGGCAACCTAAGTGATTTTTAATGCTATTTTCTTTTAGTGGGCCTGGCACCTCAAAGACAGCTATGTGATGTGGTTCTAAAACAGCCTTAACAAATATGAGAAAATTATGAAAACCCACCAAATTCCTCTTTGAAGCACTATTTAGTTAAGTGTCCAAAATTAGCTTTCAGCAGTACAAGTGACATAGCCTATACTTTCTTCTTATTTGGAAAATTTCCTCAACAAACTGGCTTTTATTTGGGGCAGATTGCAAGAGACAGCCATAGTACTGTGTGGGACAAGCTCAATCATTTCATTTTGAAAGTAGTCTTCTGGACATATTTGAGAATCATCAACCTACAAGACGCTTGTTTTGTTTTTTGTTTGTTTGTTTCTTTTGTTGTTGTTTGTTTGTTTTGGGTTTTGGGTTTTTTTGTTTGTTTGTTTTTGGTTTTTCGAGACAGGGTTTCTCTGTAGCTTTGGAGCCTCTCCTGGAACTTGCACTATAGAACAGGCTGGCTTTGAACTCACTAAGATCCACCTGTCTCTGCAACTGGAGTGCTGGGAGTTAAAGGCGAGTATCACCAACGCCCAGTCGACACTTTGTACTTTTAAAGAATGTTCATAAACAGACAACACACTTAAACTGGCTACAGCAAGATAGAAGTTACCACCAAAAATATGTAAACAGCAAAACCAAATTTCAACTCGTAATCTTTGATTTCAGCTTCGTTCTCAAGCCCATGCATTAACTGGTCTCCATCTTTGCCAATGGTGAGTTCATCAAACTATGAAGCTTTAGCAGAAACATACATTCCTGCATATCTAAATAAACCCTCACACACAGGTAACATTACCAAGACAGTCGGCCCTCTTCTTGATCTCGAAAGCACTCGGGCTTTCTCGGACAGCCTTAAGTGCAATTCCTAGAAGGCACTGGCAAATCTCTGCCAGGCCAATCTGCAGTGGAAAACCATGTGTCCTACAAGACGACAGGAGGGCCAACGCTTCTAACCCTCTACTTCAGCTGTGCACGGCAATAGCGGTTCAGCCTCTCACCATCAACACAGTAATTGTATGGAATCGAACACAGTTCCTGTCAAAGAGGACCTGCTTGACCACAAACAGGCAGCTCTGTGGAAATTCAATTTCTGGAACAAAAAACACAAGGCTGCTTGCACAATTCTAGAAACACGTACAAGTGTTCCGTTCCTGAGCTGTGCTAAAAACTTTTCCTACCTAAACTTCCCAGCACAGGGCTGACTGCAAACTGGCTTCCAAACCGTGCACAAAGCAAAAGCGGCACGCACCACAACCAGAGCCGTGGGGCAATGCCTGTCCCTGCCCAGTCCTGAGCAGGCCGGGTTGCAATGTGGTTTAGTCCAGTCTACTTTCTGGTAATGTCTTTTTAAAATCCCGCCGCGACCCAGGTCATTCCTTTAGAGATCTAATAGCAAGCAAATGACCAACCCTGCCAGGCACTTAGCAAGCCATTCTGCTTATGGTTCTTTAATAGTACCTGGAGTTCTGCTAAGGGGAGAGCGGAAAACTCCAGCTTCCCCGGAAAGAAAGTCCTGCTCCGGGAGTGTGGAGAGGCGCGCGGAGCGTGGCCTCATCGCCCGCAGACCCGCCAGTCCCCGCCGCGCCTCTACCTGTCAACCCGGCCTCCCCCGACGCCGCCCCTAAGAGCCAGCCCGGAGAGAAAGCAGCCCATGGCATCCCATCCTAAAGAAAGAAAGCAGCCGAGAGGCTGCTGCTCCAGGCGGGGGGCCATGGGCCACCGCGAGATCCGAGAGGCGACACGCCACCCGCGCCCCGCACCTACCAGATAATCCATGTACAGAAACGCCTCAGTTATCCGGAGATCAGACATCCGGCAGCCTAAAGCATCCGGAATGGCTCGGAACCCGGAAAAAAAAAAAAAAAAAAAGCAGCGTCTCGGGCTGCGAACGAGCAGCTTCTGAAAAAGCCAGCAACAGCGAAAATAGCCGAGAGCAGCCGAGGAGCCGAAGATTACACCAGGGGAGCGCCGATTGGCCGGGAGGGCGGGCAGAAGGAAAGGAGCACGCTCATTGGTCGAAGCGCCTATAAAAGGCAGGCCCCCGGTGGATGGCAGCAGTGAAGCGCGGGATTCTGGAGGTTGCTGGTTCCTGTGTGCGGGGGGAGGGGCGGACGAGCGGAAGCGCCGGCCCGCCTGCAACTGGGAAACGCGCTCTGGCCGGGTGAGCCCAAGGGGCTCCCTCGGCCTGCAATCGGCTGGAGACCCTGCGAAGCTCCAGGACTAAGGCTGACAAGCGGCCGTCTCCCCACCCCTTCGTAAGAAACCCGCTCGGGGCGATGAGAGGCGTGGTGGTCACCGAAACTTACTTTCTCTCCCCAGAGCGCTTTTCTGTGGCTTTGAAGCTCCAAGGACTTGCAGATTAGAAGGGCGGATGCCTTCTAAACAGGCTAGCTGGGCGAGGGGGAGGGGGAATACTCAGGCAAAGACGCTTCTTGGCGTCTGCTCAGACAGACAATTTGAACTTGATCTTCCTGCCGCTCTGCACCATCGTAGCCCAGGGTAAGGAAGGAGCCCAGAAGCATTCTTAGAACCCTAGACAACTTTGGGAGTAAGGTGTTCACCCCAAACCCATCGTTTCTTTACATACCTTTAAGTCCAATATCCAGTGTCTCTGAATAAAACGAGCAATGGGATTGTGACGGCCCTCCTAAAGGACCCAAACAATACTATCTTAAGATATCCCTTATCTTATTCTGAGAGGGAAAAACATGTGCAGATGCACTTGAGACTTGTGCATTTCCTGCTAAATAACTTGGAATTGGGTGAAGCCTGAGTCAAACAAGAAGATAACAGTCAATGCTGAATTTTTTTCCCCCTCCAAAATTCAGGCTATAAAGGGCATATACTCAGTCAAGGCAAAAATGAGACAAGCATGACCTTTGGAGTTGGGTATGAAGAGAAGTAAAGTATGAATATTAAAAGCATGCCATAATTTTTGTGCCAGTAATTCCAATTCTAGTAATTTTTAGGCTAAGAACTGTGGACAGTGTGATAAGTAAACATTTGCTGCAATGTTTAGAATAGAATCTCACCGGGATTGGTGGGACACGCCTTTAATCCCAGCACTGAATAGGCAGAGGCAGGCAGTTCTCTGAGTTCAGGCCACCTAGGCTACAGAGTAAGTTCCAGAACAGCCACCTACACAGAGAAACCCTAGCATTTGACCCTTTTTGTGTGTCCTCTAATAACAAATACCCTTGCAAGTTTACCTCAGGGCAGTGAAATATTTCTGTTATAGAAACCATATAATTAATTATAGAAAACCATAGAATTCATTCTAAGTATACACAAAACCAGGAAGGGTGTGTAGCCCCATCTGCCCCCAGCTCTTGAGACATGTGACTGGATGCACTATCTAATCTCTGAACCTATTTCCTCAGATACAAAATGGGAATTCCTACAGCTAGAGGGTTTTCAGGGTAATTAGAGGAGTTTGAATGTATACACACACACTTCTGCAGGGCTTGCCTTTATTGATCTAATTCCCAAGGTATATGTGTGTATAAGTAATAACTTCTTGAAAGGAGGTGTGTTCCATTACGATCTGTTCTGTTTTCAGTCAATTCAAGGGCTAGGGAGTCTAGATCCAGTTTTGATTATTTTTTTCTTGGCATTCTGTTAACTCAAGTGTGGCAGCTCTTGGCCACCACTATTGGGCAAAAGCCTGGAGATTTGGATGAACACAAGATGCCTGGTTGATTTTTCTGAGAGAATGTCTCTCACCTTTATTGTGGAACAGCTTTACATACAAACTTACAAAAACCCCAGGTCAAAGGGTTCACAACAGGATATTGATGCTAGTGGGATGAGGTCAGGAGAACAGGAGGTACCTGTGATTATGCTGGAAAACAACTCTTAGAGACCCCATGGGGGCTGGGTCCCAACATCTCCTCCTTCTTTATATATAACAAAACAGTTATCAAGTAAGAACTATAAGATTTTAACCATTCTATCTTAGTGTGCTACTATAACTATCTTCAACTCCATCAAAGACTATACAAAGATAATGTATAAACACTAGAACTAAAAGAGACATCTTGCTTCCTAGACAGTCACCCAAAATTTCTCAGTAACATTGGAGCATCCATTTTTAGCCTACAGGCCACAATGTGTCTGGCAGACTTCTCAGCAAAGCAGGAAATTCTAAACTGTCCACCTGTATTGGCAGTTTGTCCGTCATCTTTTTTCTGTGTCCTGTAGAATGTCTGGCAGACCCCTTTATGAAGTAGGAACCCTTTAGGACTGTCCTGTGGGTCCTGCATGTCCAGCTTATAAAGCAACAGTCAAACAGTTCACACAAGAGTAGCTTCTTGCCCAAATGGCTAGTCTTGCCATGTCAAAGGCAAACTCTATAATGAGTTTCTTCCATGCCCATCTTCCTCTTATATGTAATTTGTATGCCAGGAGCAGTTGTGTCTCACTGTCAAGAAAAACCCTAAACCATTTAAATGCCATATTCTGTAAGTCTTTGAAAGGTTTGAAGAATATCTGTATATCTAGAAAACCTAATATCAACAAATGAAGATCCATTCCAATACAAAGTATCAACAAATGAGGATCCATTCCAATACAAAGTATCATTTCTATATCATATTCCTCCTTTTTCTTTAAAAAGTGAGTGACTGTGATCACTACCATTTCTAACCAACCAAATATAAATGAAAACAAATATTCGGATAACCTGGGCCACTGCTTCAGGGGGTCTTGCCCCATGAAACCACACCAGTCTAGAAGGAATCCACAGCTCTTCACGCTCCATGGAAACAAAAGGAGAAATTCCCCACCCAAGTAACCTGTACTTTAACAACTGTTGTTCTTTCCCCAGCAATTAAACAATTTAAAGACAACACAATAACACTCTTTTGTTAACAGTCACACATTTACAATCACACTTCATACACACATGTGTGGCCACACCATACATACAGAACATACATACATCTTTTGAACAAAATTCACAAAGGAGAGGAGGTGTTTGGTGATGGCCATCCTTACCATAGCTTGGCATCTTTGGAGGGTCTTGAGGACTGCCGCATCTTTGTTCATTGCTGTATGGTTTTTTTGTAGGGCCTGGGTCTTTTATTCTACTTTTTCATCCAATGTGACAGATGATGTGGATGGCTTGTGGTGAGGGCTCAGGGAGAGTGGCTGGATGTCCATGGCTATGTAGCTGGGTCACTGGGGACAGGGGATGAAGACACTGGGTTTGTTTGACTGTACTCCTGAGGTGCACTGGTGGACAAGGCTGGCCTGATGTGGCTTGACACAGTGGGGGTAGGGAGAAGGCTGGCTAGAGTGTGAAGGGACTGAGGACTTCCTTGTTTGGAGCAGGTGCTGACTGGAGCTGCTGAACTCAGCTGGAGAAGAGCAGAGACTATGACTGACTGAAGAAAGGTTTCTCAGGAAGTCTGCTCTCTTTAGTCTGACTGAAGCCACAGATTTGGCCGATGCTCTGGACCCACCTATTCATGTCAGCCTCTGTTTCAGCCACCGGGTAGAAGGTGCGCTCATTGGTCTTGATATCAAACATAAAACTCTTTTGGATCTCTTTTTTGTTGAAGTCAGGCCTACATCCACCTACTTACAGAAGTTTAGGTTGATGATCCGCAGGAGTTTCTTGGAATTCATTCTTGTAGTATTCCAGAACATCTGGGTCACCACTATCTGACCACTCGGCAGGATAAACCAGCGTTGCTTCCAAGCATGGCGCCCCAACTTTTTCTCAGGAGGCGATTCTCCAGCCAGCCGGTGCACACCACATCATTGCTGGCTGACTGGAGCCTGAAGCAGGCTCAAGTGAACAAGTGCATGGACTGCTGGATCAGCTGGCTGCTGGTACACAGCTCACAGGGGAGGGATTCCTCAGAGGAGGATTTCCTGTATTTAATTTTCTTAGCATTATTATTTAATCCAAAGTTAAAATGAAATCTTACCAGTACCTTGTCTCTTTAAACTTTCTCTGTGTATTTGACTGTGATCTCTATTCCAATCCAACTCTCTTAGGAGTTGAGGCACCCTTCCAGTACCTTTTCAATCCAACTCTCAGGAGTTGGGGTATCCCTTTTCCAGTGCCTTTACAATCCAACTCTCTTAGGAGTTGAGGCACCCCTTTTCCAGTGCTTTTACAATCCAACTCTCTTAGGAGTTGAGGTACCTATTTTCTAGTACTTTTTTCAATTCACCCTCACAACTCCTTACTTGCTGGCCATCCTTCCAAAGGCAATCTCTCAGGGTCCCCTTTTTCCTGATCTCAGTGAGACCTCCACTTGTGGCTGCTCTTGGCCACCACTAAGTCCAAGTATTGGGCAAAAGCCTGGAGATTTGGATGAATGACAAGACTCCTGGTTGATTTTTCTGAGAGAATGTCTCTCACCTTTATTGTGGCTAGCCTTATATGCAAACTTACAAAAACCCCAGGTCAAAGGGTTCACAACAGGATATTGATGCTAGTGGGATGGGGTCAGGAAAATAGGAGGTACCAGTGGTTATGCTGGAAAACAACTCTTAGAGACCCCATGCAGGCTGGGTCCCAACACTCAATCACATGTAAGTTTACAAAGATTTTTGACCTGGATTCTAATGTAAAAGACTTCCACAAACCTAGTCTTTACCATAGCTGGTTGAAACTACAGAAATCAAAAGACTTTTGAAGGTCTAGCAAAAGTAATTTAGTCAAGGAACAATGTTTTTTTTTTTTCTTATTTTGTTTTCTTTCTCTCTATGAACCAGAATATCCTAAATGAGATAAAGAGGTTGAATTAGCAAGGATACAAGTTTCTATCCATTGTCTTAGTGATGATGCAAAGTCACAGGAGGCCTGATAATAACTATGCAGAAAATACACACTTGGGAGCAGTTGGCTTGTGCCTTTTCT